GTGCTCCAGTACATAAACAGTCTAAACGCACTTGCGTAAACATTTGTACCAGAGTGGCGCTTAGACTGTGCTTAGCCTGGGTGATTTTTTGAATTTTTAATCCAAAATTACAAAAAAATTTTTTTGAAAAAAAAATTCAAAACAAAAAATTTTTTTTTCCAAAATCAATTATTTTGTTGAAACAAGCAAAAAGTTCTTTGAATCATTTAAATCGGACGCTTAGTTCTCTCAAAAACTGCCATTTTTTTTAACATTTCGCTCTGTATCTCTGAAACCGCTGGGCCTATCTTTGCCAAAAACTAATCAGCACATCTCCCTATCAATAGGAATCGAATGTTTTTTAAACCATTCAAATCGGTTGATCCGTTCTCTCAAAAACTCGCTTTCTATTTTCTGCACTCTTTGCTCCATATCTCCGTAACGGCTGGACCTGCCTTTGCCAAAAACTAATCAGCACATCTCCCTATCAATAAAAATCGAATGTTTTTTAAACCATTGAAATCGGTTGATCCGTGCGCCCGAAAACGTGGACGAAAAAAAGCGGACATACAAAACACACACACACACATCCATTTTTTCTGAAGTATGCCAAAATGTTCAGAAACCTTCAAAACGTCGAGAAATGTGAAAATTTTTGATTTCGATTTTTGGACGATTACTATAACTTACCCTACGGGAAGTTAAAAAAAACGCGTTAGTAAATCAGAATGTAATGTATTGTAAATTTGTCGGTAGTTTTCTTGAATAGTGATTTTTTTCGACATCAATGTTGTGATAATAAATCTAAACTAGTGGGGCGCATGGCATCGTGCCTTAAGGCAAATTGCTGGAACTTCCCGTACCAGAAATTATTTTTTTTTAAAAAGATTAACATTTTTGAAAAAAATTTACTCTGATAAAATTGATTTTTGAGAAACTATAAATTTTTGACAGAAACTTACTTTTTGTTGAAAAATTTATTTTGAAATATTTTGGAAATTCTGAACTTTTTTTCAAAGCAATCGTACTGCTTTAAATGCATAGAGACTGAATATCGAAGCGCGTAAGCGCCGCGTCGTCGTCTAACGGATAAACACTGGTACGGAACCCATAGGAATGTTAACAAAACTTATACTTATTGTTAAAATCTCTATAAAATATCTGATAATTTGATATGCATATGTCTAATGTCTAATGATTATTGTTGACCGCCAAATGTTATTTTTTTTTAGTTTTTTTTACTAGATCTCCGAAATTTACACAAAATTGAAAAAGTGCTCCCGCATAGTCACAGTCTAAACGCATTTGCAAATAATTCTGTGCGACATTTTCACTTATACTGTGCTTAGCTTGGCGGCATTTTCACATTTTTCAATAGTTTTCACAAAATTGGAAAAGTGCTCCAGTACATAAACAGTCTAAACGCACTTGCGTAAACATTTGTACCAGAGTGGCGCTTAGACTGTGCTTAGCCTGGGTGATTTTTTGAATTTTAAGTCCAAAATTACAAAAAAAATTTTTTGAAAAAAAAATTAGAAACAAAAATTTTTTTTTTCCAAAATCAATTATTTTGTTGAAACAAGCAGAAAGTTCTTTGAATCATTTAAATCGGACGCTTAGTTCTCTCAAAAACTGCCATTTTTTTTAAATTTAGCTCTGTATCTCCGAAACCTCTGGGCCTACCTTTGCCAAAAACTAATCAGCACATCTCCCTATCAATAGGAATCGAATGTTTTTCAAACTATTCAAATCGGTTGATCCGTTCTCTCAAAAACTCGCTTTCTATTATTTGCACTTTTTGCTCCATATCTCCGTAACGGCTGGACCTGCCTTTGCCAAAAACTAATCAGCACATCTCCCTATCAATAGGAATCGAATGTTTTTTAAACCATTCAAATCGGTTGATCCGTGCGCCCGAAAACGTGGACGAAAAAAAGCGGACATACAAAACACACACACACACACACACACACACATCCATTTTTTCTGAAGTATGCCAAAATGTTCAGAAACCTTCAAAACTTCGAGAAATGTAAAAATTTTTGATTTCGATTTTTGGACGATTACTATAACTTACCCTACGGGAAGTTAATAATATGTGATATAGTCTTTGAATATGTAAAATTAGTTAAAATATTTAGCAGTCACGAAAAAACTTTATCTGTTGAATGCTGACAAAACAAATTTGGAACTAAAATAAATAATTAAGAAAAGAAAATAAAATTAATAATAAAGAAAATAATAGGAAATGTTCAGATGATAGATTATGGCAATAGGAGTATTATAAATGGAATGAAAAATTATCACGTACATGAAACAAGAGATAATGAATGAATTGAAGTCAAAGCACTGTTATTGAGGTTCAACAATAACTAACTATAATATTATATAATAACGAAATTGCGAATTTATTGGAACCAGAACAATTAAGTATTTTTGTAAGTGAAACAAGATAGTAAGCAATATGATTAATATTTACTATAATTACTCATTTATTTCAATATGACAGACGATATGAATATTTGAAGAGAGCATAGGTTTGCTCCTACGTAAAATAACATGAGCATATAACATGTCATGGAAGGAATTAACTTTGATTGAGATAAATGCATAACACGAGGATTTAGTGTATAATACACGGTATTTCATATACAATTTTGATTTCGATAGTGTCACTAATTATGATTTATTTACATTACAATTTTCTTGGTCTATTTGTTGAAAAATCACACATGACAATGAAAAAGGAAATTTGATTTATAACCATCATTGTGATGGCAATGATTTGATGGTTTTATTGTGCCAAACTATTTGAAACATCCAAATAGAAGTTAGTTCCAATCCAGCCAAAGACATTCACGTCTTCATACTTGTGAACTACTCAAAGTAGTTTTCAACCAAATAGAAGAAACCGTCCTGGATTTACATTATTAACCAAATATCAAATTTGAAGCTGATGCAAAGTATGAATACTTCATACTTCATACTTCAACCTTTTTTTTATTTAATTTTGGATCTATTTGGCTACTAGATTATTTTTCTTCGAGGATAAATACCAAATGTTAAATAAAATGATATCTATAATTCAGTCGCAGAAGGAATTTTGACACATTTAATAATTTTGAGATATTTATAAAAGGTGCTATCACAATAAATAGTATTAGCTTGAAGATTCTTCATCGCCATGCATAATTAATCAGGAGCATCGTTTTAATTTGTACGGATTTCTTAATCATGGATCAAATGGTATAACTGACCTTAGTTTAGTCGAAGAAGGAAGTGACATCACAATAAATAATATTCGCTCAAAGGTTCAAATCAAGAGGTTTGGTTTAATTTGTACGCAAATCGTAACCATGTATAAAATGCTATAATCTATTAGCAAACGAAGATATTTCAATACTTATATAAATTATTCAAGGTCGTGAAGATTGATTTGTCCAATTCAATTGTGATTGTAAAATTTTGGGACCTTCCCAATCTTTACCAAATCACTTATGTATATGTATCTACTAAGTTTGTTAAATTGATATAAAAAGGAAATTGAAACATGTTATGCAGTCTGGATATTATATAAAGAAAAAGTAATATAGAGTAAAATCGATTCGCACTCGAAATCGATATTAAAAATTTGTATTGATATTTGCAAATATTAAGAAATTCTTGAAGAGAATAATCAGTTTTTAATGCAAAGGGCTATATTTAACCAATTTTAAATATTCAACGATCAACACATGTAACTTGAAGGATAAACTTGTAAGATATAATAAAATTTTCTTTGTTTTTCTCTAAACTTACAATTGGAAAACTACAAACGCTTGAATACATTTCTACAATACATTCAATATGATAACTTTAAAATGAATGTAAAATTATATGAATCATTAATAATATAATTATAGTTACTAATAGCACATACTATCGCTATAATAAAAGTAAAACATGTTTCTTATAATTTTAGTTCCATTTTTTTTATTTTGCCACTATATTAAAGCTATACATATTTAACGTTGCATAAGATTTATTTTTGAACATACAAGAGACTGCGCATTTTGTAATTGGTTAAATTTTTATTTCTTTACTAGAAACGAAAATACTTCATTTATATTTTTTAGTTCCATATACGTTTCATTGTTTGTAATGTTCAAATTTTCGATCCATATTTTATCTAAGTATGCTTCTTCATGTCGTTGCTTGTACCATGTAAATTCAAGTTGAATATTTTATTTTTTATATAATATATACGGTTTTTAAATTTCGGAAAAAGGAATGTCTTCCACATGTGCACCACTATTTTTTCAATTTCATACGAATTCTTGGATAAAACATTTTCTTTCATTTCACTATTGAATTCTTGGGTAAAAAATCGGAGTCTGTCATGCGCTCTAAGTCACACTATTATATCTTGTATTTTGAAACCTCGTGGATTTAAGGATCTAGAAAAATAGAAGGCGACAGAGTTTAGATTTTTCATGCTATATGCAGTCTTAAAAACTTACCTGCCCAGAACGCTATATAATTTTTTTTTTTTAACTTTCATGCTGCTATGAGAATTGTATGTTCAGAAACTCTAATATAAAATTATGGGATCAGGCATTGGTATTGATCGAAAAATTTTGTTCGCGATTGGTAAAACTATATGGAGAATGCATGCTTGTATATAATACTCATCGTATTTTTCACATGATAAATGATGCAGTAAGGGAAGAAATCATTGTTGACCAGTACGGCTGTTTTCCATTTGAGAGTTATTTGGGACAGTTACTAAAATTGATACGAGGACCAGCAAAGCCTTTTGCAACAAGTATCATGCAGACTACTCGAACAATTTCATGATAAATCAAATGTAGATCCAAATGATATTGTAATACATAAAAAATTCCAAGATTGATTTTGTTAAAATAAATGGATATAAAATATATTCGTCAATTGTCATATATTGCTCCCTAATGAAAAGATAATGTGTGTAGATGAAATAATTGAACAGGAATCAAATTTACTTTTTCGAGGGTTTCTCTTACCCTTTCGACCCACACTTGAAAACAAAGTTGTAAGGTCTTTGCTCATACATTTTCTTAGCATTGATGTAATCAATTGCTTCTTGTTTGTTCTGCCAGTCAGAGTTAGCTGAATTGACTGTAAAAAAAACTTATTAAATACATTGCATATTAGCTATAGAAACATTAACTATAGAAAATATTTTTCAGCTTTTCTTCTAAATCGTCTAATTCTTCATTCGTCTTAATAGGTAACATAAAGTTAGTTTTTTTTTCACAGATTGAATCTGTGAAGCTGATGCCTCGTAGAGATAGAGCTCAGAGTGTTATCGTCGGAGCTCTCAATACACGATTGATTTTGAGTTCTTTTTACATACTTCTTCACGTTTCTATAATCGGTGGTGCTTCTCATAAACTTAGCCTCCAATTCAGAGTAATCTCTAAACGAAGGAGGCTCGCACGCCTTCAGCATCTTATTTAGTTTATAGCCTGCTACATTTCCTGATCATGATTACATAGTCTTTTCCTCATTTACTGCCCATGATGAGGGCACGTGTCCGCATGAACCCTCTTTTTAAAAATCACTATATCCCATGAACACTATTAAATATAATGGTACCAATTTTGAAATTTATTTATTACTATATATTTATAGTTATTACTATAACTAATTAATTCAAATATTTAAATTAAAATAAAAAAAATTAAATTAAAATAAAATTATTTAAATTAAATAATTGAAATTCATTTTTAAGATATCTTACCTCCATCTTCACTTATTTAAAATTTAACTACGTAAACTTATCTTTAAACAAATACCTGCAACTGTTGCGACGATCAAAACTGGAAAGAAATACGAAATGCAATTGCGATCCTTGCAACTACACAAAATTAAATTTTGGCGCGATTATTTATTAGTGTGGGCACTGATTTACATTTTCTTCAAAACCAAATGCGTAAATAATGTTCCAGGTAGTTGACATTTTTGTGCCAAATGTGAAAATAATAAAATCAATTAGTTGTAAGTCAAACATCCAAGCTATGTATCATATATATTAATTAATATTGATTCTACAATTGTAAGTTGAAGAGTGTCAAATGATATAAGACTTGATTTGTCTTTTGCCCAGATTTTTCTGAGAATGTATGGAAAGGCTTGAAACTTCATAACAATGCTTGCAGCATATATAGTGCGCTTGAAATTATACATGATATATTAGTTATTAACTTCCCGTAGGGATAGTTATAGTAATCGCAAAAAAATCGAAAATGAAAATTTTTATATATCTTTGCGTTTCAGAGGTTTCTGAACATTTTGGCATACCTTAGAAAAAATGGATGTATGTGTGTGTGTGTGTGTGTGTGTGTGTGTGTATGTATGTATGTATGTGCGTGTGTGTATGTATGTGCGGATACAAATTTTCGTCGACGATTTCGGGAACACGGATCAACCGATTTGAATAATTCAAAAAACATTCGATTCGTATTGATAAGGAGACGTGCTGATTAGTTTTTGGCAAAGACAGGTCTAGCCGTTCCAAAGATACGGGGCAAAAAGTGCCGAAAACGGTAACTCAGTTTTTAAGAGAACGGAGTGTCCAATTTGAATAAGTCAAAAAACATTTTACTTGTATTGACAAGATGAAGAATTGACCAAATTTTCATAAAGGCAGGTCTAGCGGTTTCGGAGATCTAATGAAAAAAGTAAAAAAAAATGCCATTTGGCGGTCAAAAATGATCATTAGACATATGCACATCAAATTATCAAATATTTTATAGAGATTTTAACAATAAGTATGAATTTTGTTTACATTCCTATGGGTTCCGTACCAATGTTTACGCGTTAGACGGCGACGCGGCGCTTACGCGCTTTGATATTTCGTCTTTATGCAGTTAAAGCAGTACGATTGCTTTGAAAAAAGGTCAGATCTTCCAAAATATGTCAAAACAAAGAAAACATTTTTTTTTCAAAAAAAAAAGAAATTTAAATTTTTTTTTTTTTAAAAAAATTTTTTTTTCAAAAAAAAGTAATTTTTTGTCCAATTTATAGTTTCTCAAAAATCTTATTTTTTCGAAGTAAATTTTTTTCAAAAATGTTAATCGTTTTTAAAAAAAAATAATTTTTGGTACGGGAAGTTTCAGCAATTTGCCTTAAGGCACGATGCCTTAATTGCCTTAAGACAGAATTCCACTTACAGCTAGTTATAGAATAGAATGCTAAACAAAGTCATTTTGAAAATATATATACAACCCCTGAAAAAAATACAAGTATACAAGATAGACAAAAATAAAATTTACACTTGAATATGAATCTTTTTATTTCAGAAATAATTTCTTACTTAAATTTAATTTTAACATATTGTACAGTCATGGATGTTATTTACCATTGGAATTGGAGTTCCTATCCTATCATTACCGTCCTGGCCGCCGCGATGGTTTCTTTGCCCACCGTGGTTGCTTCCGCGGCCGCCGCGGTTGTCTGCGCGGTAATTTCCGCGGCCACCGCGTTGCTTGACGCGACCGCCGCCGTTGTTTCCTCTACCGCCGCCGTTGTTTCCTCTACTGCCGCCGTTGTTTCCTCTACCGACGCCGTTGTTTCCTCTACCGACGCCGTTGTTTCCTCTACCGACGCGGTTGTTTTCTATGCCGCCTCGGTTGTTTTCTATGCCGCCGCGGTTGTTTTCTACGCCGCCGCGGCTGTTTCCCCTGCCGTCGCCCCAACTCGCATCGTCTGTGGACTAAAATAATAATTAATAATATTATAATAGCTGATTGCTATGTATTTATGTATTATTATAAAAATTTAACATTACCTCTTTGTAACTATAAAATCTTATTTCTTGATCTTTAAAAAATGTAGGAAGTATTCCTCCACGTTTCCACTATCTTCATAAAGAACCGGCAGGAGCGATAATACACGCTCCTCCTTTTGATACAGCAATTTTATCGTGTCGAAGCATAGACTAACGCCCTTCATTTTGTAACCTATTATAAAGAAAAATTATAATGAAAAATCCCTTAATTATACCAATGTATACATGTATATATATATATATATATATATGTGTGTGTATATATATGTGTATATATATGTATATTATACATAAAAAGAAATATATACCTTTGTTATGCTCCGACACCCCACACAACAAAACCGTGTGACAAAGAAACGATGTCACCGAAACATCTCCTAATTTCGTTGGTCTCGATTTTGCACTCGAGTTATAATAATAAGAATGTTCTAATTATACACATGTCCTGAAGAATAAAAAGTGGACTTAAATTACTTACACAAGCCTATCTTCCCAATGGGACTCGGTGTGGCAGTCTGTTAATATTATCAGTATCTCTTTCGATATTTCACTCACTAGCGTGAAATTCCTCACAGCTCTCGCCATTTTATTTAAGAATGCTAGAAAAATAAAAACTATAATAATAGAAACGAAGAAATAGTTTTCAAATAAAATTATATATGTAATTTTAATAATACGCTATACATATCAATAAAAATCATGAATTTTTATAAGAAAATATTATAATTCCTTACGTTTCAGCATTATTACAAATATATTTGCATAAAGCTATAAGAACTATTAGTTCCATAAATACAAATTTGATGCAGTAAGGAATAGCCACATAATTGGATTCAGTTGCATATGGCAGAGTTACACATTTTTGTTTTATTTCCTTCACAGATATTGTCACATCATTCATAATTTTTGGGTCAAAAACATGAATATTGAATAGTTTCGAGTCGAATGGTTTTAAAAATAATGATTTTGTCATCGTCGCTTCCGAACACAATATTTTATCAACATGACAAATTTTATTTATTAAAACTATTTTATTCTCGGTTGTTAAACAACAGTTATTTGAAGCTATATTACTTATAGAATTTTTTTTTAAATTAAATCTTCTCTATTTCTAATGTTTTTGTCCGGTGTATTACTGGAAAACTCTTGATTTGAATAAATTCACTTCTGCTTTTATTAGTTGTTTCTTCCCACATTCTGTTTACTAATTGTTGCAAGGGCTTGAGTGAAACTTGAATCTTATTTTCCACACTTATGAAATAATTTTCAAATGGAAAACAACTAAATTTGTCTAATGAACAACCAAACTTCTTGACTTCATCAGCTAAATGGATTATATTATGAACATTAAATGTTAATCTATCTGATTCATATGAATCAGAATAATTAATGACAAAAAGTTTTAAACAAGTCCTCTGCCATACTATTTCAGTGGAGACATGCCTCTGGATCACACATAGAATTCTAATGACTGAACTAAAATGCAGAAAATTTAAAAAACAATTGGTTACTCAATACAGGTCTCAAAACTACTCATCCAGAATCCAACAAAAAATGTATGTGTTCAGTGGCCTTCCAATGTTTGTGATCCTCTAGTCTTCTAGGCACTCTGGAAACATCCGAAGGGAGCAACTTTCTATGCTTTATTATATAATTGTTCATATCTTTTTTGTTCTTCCGTAAAGCGAATATCTATAAATTCGCACATCCAGAGAGCAATTAGGCGCTTTGTCACCCCCAAACACACCATGTGCATATAATCCAATGAACTTGGGAAATCATACCGATCCCCAAATCCTCTAGAATAGATACACCAGTATGGTGCTTGGGGTATTGTTTTGATTTTA